TCATTGTTTTTATTTATTATGTGTTATTTTTGTTTGTTTTTTCTAATGATCTTTTTATTCTAAAGTTAAATACAAAAATAACAAGACACACAAGAAAGAAAAAAAAAAGAAATGAATTGTCTTAATTGATGTTTTTTCTAATTTAAATTAAAAATGGAATAATTTCTTTGCTTTGTTTTGGATATTTATCAACAAATTCTTTTTTATAATCTTGATGTTTTTTGTTTAGTTCATATAATCATTTGTACAATTCCAGTAAAAGTAAATAAAAGTACTGTTAATGTTTGTGTCATTAATGAAAAACTTAACCATGAACCAATTTCATATGTATAATTAGGACATGAAATCAAATAAAACAAAATTTGTAAATGTTTTTTTTTTATTTGAATATGGTATACAACGTTCATTTGTACCAGGTGAACGAAGATCACGAAGAAGTAAATGTCTTGATAAATTACCAATTTCATTTGACTTAAAGTTTCTTTTTAAATATATTGGTTTTAAATAACAATTAACTTACTATAAAAATAGCTAAATCTAAATAAATTTGAGTATAACTAAATGATATTGAAGTGTATTTTGGATAATTAAGAAAATATGATATAAATGCAGTAAAACTCCATTAATAACTAAAAATCTATTAGAAAAATAAAACTTTGTATTATATTAAAATTAATAGATAAGAAAAGATAAATATATATCACTTTAAATACATAAAATGATGACATTCTTGCATGAGAAAAACAATGAACAAATATTGGGTGTGGGTGTGGGTGTGGGTGTGGGTCAATAAAGGGAGGACAACACCCACACCCACACCCACACACCCCACACCCCACACCCTTTTTCTGATGTATCTGGTCAAACTGTAATTGAATTTGTTTACGTATCTTTTTTGCATATATCATTTATATATGACGTGTTGTTTTATTTTTCTGTTATACATTTTATTCTTAGTCATAACAATAAATTTTGTTTCAGTTAGGATGATATTAGTTATAACACTATGAATTTATGATAAAAGTACGAGTTTAGTATTACAAAGGCTTACAAAACATTGTGTTTTTCTAATAATATTTTGAACCTTGCTATTTAGTTTTGCAAAACAGAAGAAATTCTTCCTTTGTTGTCTACTGTAAATTACTAGTACTGCTGAGATATATTAATATTATTTAAGTTATAACGATTGACACATAGCAATATAAGAATAGTCAATCAATTCAATATTATTGCTTATATCAGTATTTTATCAGTCAGAGAATCAATTCATTGCAATATAATAGAAAAGAGAGAAGTACTGTTCGATTAGCGGAATACAGATCAAATGACTAAGTACCCAGTCGTAACCGGTGTAACACTCTCAGTGAAGTTTATTGTGTATCGTTATATACTATCACTTTCTTATTGAGTTGACTATTCATGCACGTTGTTCCAACCGTATCATGTTATCGAGTGTTATATCATGCTTT